ATTGAACAATGTATAAGATATACTTAGGGGGGATGTAAGAATTCAAAACTAAAATCGAGGTCAGTCCAATATTTTAATTTATCCGTTAATTTATAATTTTTAAATATTTGCTTTCCTCGGTATTATATATTTCATTGATTGTTCTCCTATACGGATAAATCGCCTTTTATCAATAAATATTTTAATGTAAAAATTTTATTCGTTGAAATATGACAGTTAAATATATATTCCTCTCAATATTAGCAAATCAGAATATTAGACATGAATGAAAAAAGTTAAGTTTAAACACCAAATAACGACTGATAACTTAACAGACATAAGTTAAAGTACCTTTTGAAAGATCTTGAATAAATGTGTTACAAATTTTGTCAAAATGTTGTCAGGAGCAAAGGAACATTAATTTCCAATTCATTTTAAACTAATTTTTGTCTAAATGCCATTATATATTTAAAAATAAAGGTTTATAATCTTAATGAAATAACTGTTAAACTAGGTTGGCATTTAGGTCCCACCAAGCCACTTTCGAAAAGGTTAAATGTAGCTGTTTCTTCTACTTTTAGCTTCAATCTTAAATTCCTGTCTGTGGAAAAAAGTTCGTCTTACAATGTTCCTGGTTGATATTAAATTCAAATCCTTAAAAGCATGGTCAATCGACATCTTCAGATGCCTTGACTAATTAATATTCCTCACCATTTTTTCCACTATCACGCCTCTTTAAATACACGGCTTCTGTAACATTTTATAAAATACACTACTGCTATTTTGGGGGAAATGTTTTGGTAAATAGTTTAATGAAAAGCCTTTAACACATAATGTATATTTTTGAACAAAGTTTTTTCTTTATTTAAATGATTTTAAAATGGCCAAATAATGATCGTAATTCTTCCTGTTTTCAGAAATTTTAACATTTCATTTTTTTTATCAGACCTATATCAAAGCCTCTCTCTATTCTATCGCTATTTCCATGGCAAATGTTCAGACGAGATACATTCTTTAGTTCCATCAGTTCAGACCTTTAGAGCTAAGTTCTCTAGCTAAGCGATCGCCATTTCCACGGCAAATGTTCAGACTAGCTACATTCCTTAGTTCCACCAGCGTAGAATTTAGAGCTAAGTCCTCTCGCTAAGCGATCGCTATTTCCATGGCAAATGTTCAGACGAGATACATTCCTTAGTTGCACTAGTTCAAACCTTTAGAGCTAAGTCCACTTGCTAATCGATCGCTATTTCCATGGCAAATGTTCAGACTAGTTACATTCCTTAGTTCCACCAGCGTAGAATTTAGAGCTAAGTCCTCTCGCTAAGCGATCGCTATTTCCATGGCAAATGTTCAGACGAGATACATTCCTTAGTTCCACCAGTTCAAACCTTTAGAGCTGTCCACTCTGTTAATCGATCGCTATTTCATGGCAAATGTTCAGACTAGTTACATTCCTTAGTTCCACCATTTCGTAGAATTTACATCTAAGTCCTTCACTCTATCGTTATTTCCATGGCAATGTTCAGACGAGATAAATTCTTTAGTTCCATCAGTTCAGACCTTTAGAGCTAAGTCCACTTGCTAATCGATCGCTATTTCCATGGCAAATGTTCAGACTAGCTACATTCCTTAGTTCCACCATTTTAGTCCTTTAGAACTAATCCCTCTCGCTAAGCGATCGCTATTTCCATGGCAAATGTTCAGACGAGCTACATTCCTTAGTTCCACCGGTTCAGCTTATCATAATTATGATCCGTTATGTCATGTACACAGGGTTGAATCATCCCCCTTCCCTTCGTATTCTATTTATAAAACGGAAGTTCACTTCAGACACCTTTTTCCATGGCAGCTGTTCAGAGAACGGATTCTAAATTCCACCAAATCAAGGACTGAACCGTTATCTTCGTTATATCCTAATAAACTCCATGGCAAACTCACCCGAGCAATTTCCTGATCATAACAAACATTTCAGTCATTAACCCTCTAACTTGAGTGGCTCTTGGGCCTCATGCTAGGTGAAAAATTACTAAAAAAAAAAGTCTCATTTAACTTCATCTGTCTTCATTATTCGATTGTTGCATAGCCTTTCTTTCTTTTTTTGCGTGTGTTTCCTTCCAACTGTTTCCTGTCTTTTCCCAATTCCTCGAATTTCGTCTTTTATTCTTTCTGTTTCTAACCCTGGCATCCAGTCCTCCGCATTCCTTTGTCTTAAGTTCCATCCACTCCCGCACTCACACGTAAGCTACTATTCTCTATTCACAGTGTTTTCTTCAAATAATCCACCGTAATTAATCTCGGATCAACGGAACAAGGTAGAGTTTAGAGGGAAGCCAAAACAACCTCCGGCCTAAAACCGGGATCAAGTTCCTGATTAAGTTTTGGACTCAACGCACCATGGCTCAATATACTCTGTTTATTAAATTAAGCCAATAATACGGTCGTAACCCTAACCTTGACTGGCGCCCCATGTCAGCATGAGCTGTTCAGCGTGATTAATTAAATGGACCTGCCGTTGAGTTGAAAAGGACAATTAATTGAGCAGATACGGTTGCTTTCTTTGCCTGTTTCATCAATGGTGCGTTTCCATTGATAAAATGGCGGTTAGGGTTCGTTTTGTTAGGATGTTCAATGTTCAAGTATTTGTTAAGGATTTTCTTATTTTGGATTTGTTTTTAATATGGATTAATTTTTTGTTAATTTTTCAAGATAGCTATTCTTTAATTTTTTTTCTTTTTCAAATTTATGTTTTTTTTTGTTTTTGTTTTTTTTAATGTGACTGCTTTAATTTTGTCAGCCATTATTTTTCCCCATCGGTTCCTACTTCCGGTTTCATTCTTTGTCTGTGCGAATGATTTCACAAAGACCCAAGAACCACTGATTTATTTTCTTGAGCGTTTTTTAAATGCTTTTTGAAATTCTTTCTATTGCCTTAATTTCACCTTTCTTTTCTAGATTGCTTTTTAAATTCCATTTCCTATTGATATTTCTTTCTCACTTTTTTTCTGCTTTTCGTTTCGCTATGTATTTATTTCTCTTTCCTGTCTTTACTTCTGTCTTTCTTCATTTCATATTTTCAATTTCTTATGTCTTCTTTTATTTCCTCCATGTTTTAAAATGTTTTTCTCCCTATTTCTTTATTTCTTTCTTTTTGAATTTTGCTTCTTTTTTTGCATTTCTTTATTCATTTCCTCCACTTCGTTTTTTTTCATTTCCAATTCTTCTTTCTTTCTTTCTTTCTTTATTTTTTCCTTGTCATTTTCCTTTTCTTGTATGATTTCTTAAACTTCTTTTAAATACAGCTTTATCATCTTCATTTTATTTAAATATTACACATATTACCGTTTTTCTCATTCATTTATTCTTTCTTTGCTTTTTTCATTCCTTTTTTTTCTTTTTTGTTTCTTTATTTCTTTTTTATTTATTTCCTACTTTCTTTCATTTTAATCCTTCCTTCTTTCCTCCATCTTTCATTTTTCCTTTCCTTCTTTCTTTCATTTTTTCTATCCTTTTCCTTTCTTTCATTCATTCAGTTCTTTCTTTATTTCTTTCTTTCTTTTTTTTCTCATTTTCCTTTTCTTGTATTATTTCTTAAACTACTTTTAAATACAGGTTTATCATCCTCATTTTATTTAAATGTTACACATATTATTTTTCGCATTCATTTTTTCCATTCTTTCATTCATATTTTCTTTCTATCTTTCTTTATTTCTTTTTTATTTCATTCAATTCTTCTTTCTTTATTCCTTTCTTTCCTCTTTCTTTATTTCATTCATCCAGTTCTTTCTTTTTTCTTTCCTCTTCCTTACTTTCATTGTATTCAGTTCTTTTTTCTTTCTTTTATTCTTTCTTTATTTTTTCCTTGTTTCTTTATTTCTTTGTTTCCTTCCTTCTTTCTTTTATTCATTCATTGCTTCTTTCTTTCCTTTCTTTTATATGTTCTTCCATTTTATAATGTTCTTTTCTTTTTTTCTTTCCTCACACGTCTTTTAGCTTCAGATTTATCATCTTCTCATTTTATTTAAATATTTAACATATTCCTCGTTCTTTCTTTTCTTTCTTTCTTTTTTTTATTTCCTTCATTATTTCTTTTTTGTTTTGCCCTTACAGTTCCTGAAAAGTTTAAATGGAAAGGTCTTCGTTCTTTGCACTAAATTATGTTTATTGATCGAGTATCATTTTCATTTAACAGCATTCCATACTTTATTTATTTCCTTTATACATAATCAATTCCTGCCATCCTTGTTCTTCTCCGATTCCTTTTTTTTTCATTTCCTCCAGAGAACAGGTTACAACACTGCATTACACATCAGAATTTTTCAAATACTTTTTTTTTCAAAATATTTTTTTAATTTTAATATTCCACAAAAACAAAATGAAGACGGAATCAAAATGCAGCCGGAACGCATTTTGCTTGCTTCGCTCCACGTCTGATCCCTACAATATTCCCTAAGGACGTGAAAGATTATATTTTCTAGACTTATCACTTATGTGTGATCGGGTCTCATCATCGCATCTGTTGTCGCTCGTGCTGTTTATTCATCCCATCGTGAATAAAAACAAAATCGGCAGCCATGAAAATATAACTTTACACAACACAGATCATTAACTTTCATGTTTATGAGTTAGGGATTTTATTTTTCTTCCTATTTTCTCTTTTCGAAATTTTCAGTATTTCTAGCATTTCGTTCCCGCTTTCTCTCTTCATCTCAGTCTCCTTCCTTTCGACATTACGCCTTATCTTACCAATTTCCTTCATATTTTTTTTCATTACTACGTTTTTAGTTGTCCACCATGCTCTCGTAATCCTCAATATCCGCCATTTTTACTTTTTGTTGTTTTTACCAAACACATATACATAGTAAACTAAAGATCCAGAGTGAAAATATAACAAAGATCCCAAAAATACTTTTTTCATTTAAGAAAATTTCTTTTCTTTTTTCTTTCTTTTCTTTCCTCATTAAAGTCCTTTCTTTCTTTCTGCTTTCTTTTGTTTTCGTTATTGTTGATGAACAAATCTCAAAATGCCACACCAATTCTTTCTTTCTTTTATTTTTCTTTTTCTTTCTCTTTTAAGACTCTTTTTCTTCTTTTCTTTCTTTCTTTTCTTTCAATCTTTCTTTCTTCTCTTTTTGATAAAATTTCTTTTTTCATTTCTTCCCTTCTTTCTTCTTTTTTCTTCTTCTTTCTTTTTTTTTTTTGAACTTTTCAACCTTTTTTCTTTTCAGTCCTTATTTGCTCTGAAATTTCAAGATTCTTCTTGTTTCTTTTGTAATCCCCTTTTAAAAGGATCTTCTTTTCTTTCTTATATCTGTGTTCGTCCTCTTCTTATTTTTTTTCATTCTTTTCTTTTTCAAAAAAATCTTATAAGCTTTCTTTTTTTTTCTTCCTTTAAATCCAGGGCTCAAATAAAGTATTTCTTTTAAAATTGTAGTCCTCCTGTTTCTTCTTTCAGTTAGTTTTGGTTCTAAATAAATTCTTCTATCTATTCAATTTTTTTTTTTCTTTCTTCTCTTGTATTCCCTTTTTGATTTTTCTTTCTTTCTTTTCTTTCTTCTTTTTGTAGTCCTCTTCTTTCTTTTGTTTCTTTCTTATTCTTATATATCCAGTTATTTATTTGTTTCTTTCTTTCTTTTTTTCATTCTTTCTATATTTTTTCTTTCTGTTGGGCCACCGTAACATTGTCATCAGAATGGACTGATCCTGTACTATCAATAGAACAGTTCTATAGAGTTCTGAGATTTCAGGTTATTCCATCACACTTCCATCTTGTGAGTTGGAAGATATCAGTTGGATATCCGATCTTTCTGATTGTTATATAATGAAACCTGTTCGTTTGACTATATTCATTTTATGTTGTAAATACTTATTTCAGATATACCAGTGTTTTTAAACTACGTATGTGTGTTTAATCCTTATTTCAATCTACGAACGGGGAAAATTATTCTTTTTCATCTGACTTTTCAATTAAATTTTCTTTTTTATTATTTTCTTTAAAGTTTTTCATACAGATTTATCATCCTCATTCATTTAAATGTTACGCTTTGTTCATCTATCATTATGTCATTCATTCCTTCATTTTTTTTCTATTTTTATTTCATTTTTTTCATTTATTTATTTTAATCATTTCCCCAGAACTTTTTGGCATTTTCTTTCATTTTTTTCATTCATTCATCCCATTTTCATTCTTTTTCGCTTTCTTTTTCTCTTTTCTTTTTTTTCATTCATTCAGTTTCGAAGATTTTTTCTTTGAACTTCTGCAGTCTCATTCATTCCAGATTTTTTTTTTCGCATTCTTTCAAAATTCTTTTTTTTCATTCATTTTGATTTTTTACCCATTTCTTTCTTTTTTTTCTTCATTTTTATTTTCATTCAGATTTTATTCATTTTTTCTTCATTTTTTGCGTTATTCATTCATTTTCTTTTTTTTTTTTCGTATTTTTTGAGTTGTAAATCTTTTTTTCATTCATTCATTCCAGATTTTCTTTTCTTTTCGTATTCTTTTCTTTTTTTCATTCATTTTTTTTTCACTCATTCATTCCAGATTTCTTTTTTTTCATTTTTTTCCAGGGTTGATTCATTTTTTTCATTCATTCATTCCTTTTTTCATTCATTTTTTCTTTCATTTTTTCATTCATTCATTCCAGATTTTTTGTTTTCGCATTACTTTTTTATTTTTCATTCATTCATTCCAGATTTCTTTCTTTTCGTTTCTTTCTTTCTTTCTTCATTTTTTTCATTCATTCATTCCAGATTTCTTTCTTTTCGCTTTCTTTCTTTCTTTCTTCATTTTTTTCATTCATTCATTCCAGATTTATTTCTTTTCGCTTTCTTTCTTCCTATATTCATTCCCACTTCCGTACTTTTTTATTTACTTATGTATTTATTTTTATGCGTTTTCTTTCGAACTTCTTCCATTTTAAAATTTCTTTTCTTTTTTTTTTTTTTCCTTCTTTCTTTCTTTCATACGTTCTATATTTCTTCCACGTTCATATTTCTTTTCTTTTCTTCCTTCTTTTTTTTTTCTTTCTTTTTTTTTCTGCAGATTAATCCTCCTCTCATTTTTAAAAGCAAAACTTTCTTTTCATTTCTTCTTTCTTTTTATTTAAAAATTTTTCATTTCAAAATTCTTTTCTTCCTCCCTTCCCACTTTCCACCTTATCTTCCCTATGTCTTTCATTGTTTTAATTACTATGTTTTTAGTTGTCCACTATTTTCGCGTAATCCTGATTATCTCCCTTTTTATACTTTATTGTTTTCATCAAACATATGTATAGCAAGCTAAAGATCAAAAGTGAAAGTATAACATAGATCCCAAGCTAAATGAAAATGCCACGAGAATGCAGAAGGCTTACACACAGTGAAAATGAAAGTGAAAGTAGATGATAATGCTCAGTCTGAAAATGGAGAGTATTAAGGTAAGAGCAAAAAGAGAAGAGGTTTCAAGGAAACAAGATAATGATTGGTTTGTTTAATTTTGAAGATTGCGAAATTGGGATGAAGAAATCGGATAGCATTTCAGGCGAGAAGTATAAAAGAAATGATAGTTATTTTATTATATTTTATATATAACAGACCTATTTATTTCAGATTTAACCTTTTATAATAATTCATTTTGTAGAGGTTATTCTTCAAAAGTAACTCCGAGCAGTTAATTTGAAAATATTAAGTTTCTTGACAGAGAAAAAGACGTCAGGTTTTGAGAATGTGACAGAAAACGAGATGCTTAGTCGAAATCGATTCTAATTGGAACATTCTGGGATTTCAGACTCAATATCGAGATAATTAGCAGTTCAATTTAGATATGGCAACAGTATTCAATGCCCGGACGAATAGTAGAATAATAAATCTGTAAGATGGATTATGATGAGAAAAAAAGTCTTCCATTATTATGAATACGACATATATGCTCGATGTATGTATAATCGCAACATTTATATATGTATGTATACGTCTATATTTCGCAATATGTATATATATATATTATATATATATATATATTCAATAAATATATATATATATATATATATATATTTTGTTGCAGGATTATAAAAATTTCTAATGGCGATTCATTATAATATTTTTTATAAGTAAAGAAATATTTAAATAAATTATCTAAATTAAATATTCAAAATCATTCACCAAAAAAATTTTGCATGTACTATTCAAAATCTAATTATTTCACTCTACTACAACGAGCATTTTGTTTGACAACATATTTAACATCACAAATTTAGTTTGTGGAACAATGAAATATCAGAAATATATATTGAGCGTATATATATATATATTTATGACAGACATATTTTTCCCATAAAAAAAGATTTATTTTTAACTCCATTAAAAAATTGATTATAAAAATTCTGCACTTTTAACAAAATGAACATGAATTTAAATTCAAAGGCATTAAACAAAAAAAAAAGAAACTTAAGATTTTATTCACATCATAATTATCACAGCACATGGTAAAATGTCACGTTTGTTTTTTGAATGTTTTTTAAACTTTTTTCAATTTGACTAAAATTCATTTTTCTCTTAAATAACACATATTTCATACTAATTATTTCCGTTAAACATATTTAAATGATCGACACATATGCTCAGGTTTTTTATCTAAAAAAGACACAAGTTAATATATGTGATATCATGGCCACGCATAAAACATAATGTTTAAATTTTTTTTCATTTTTGTTTGAAAAAGTCTGATGATCCGCAGTCCTTTAAAAAAGGCTGTATGAAATAATTTATTACATGGAACCTTAAAGTGGTCTGTTTTAAAAAATTATTTGCTCTGGATTTACATTGAGCTCTCTGGATTTTATCACAAATTGGGAGAAAACGGATTAAACTAGTTTTTTAAAATATATATATATATATATATATAGATAGGTATATATATATATATATATGCTGTTTATATATATATTCACATATATATATATATAAACCTGGTGAATTTGTTTGTGTGTGTGTTATACAAATATAATTTCCATATTTAAAAGAAAGAACTATCAGATTAATAATCTACAGTTCTTTAGCATTTATTCTTTTTCAGGAGTGCTCAACACAAATTAGAGCATAATATTATAATAGTTTAATTTAAAAAATATTTTTTTCATTTAAATTATAATATTATAATACATATATTTATGTTTATATTAGGTTTAAAATAATCCATAAATTGGTGTTATTTAGTTTTGTTGGTCTTGTCAAAATCTGTGCTCCACACTGATAATCAAAAGTGTTGTAGTCTGGGGAGTTAGGTGGCCAGATCTAAAGAGGAATTCGGTCTTAGACAGCTTTTACTGGGTTCTCCTGCTTGTTTAGCATGGTGCAGATTCCTGTTGCCAGACATACGTGTTACAGTTTTTTGGATATGTATTTACTAGTGAGCCAATCAAAATGAGCTGCCTCATTTTATAGTTCACCAATTGAAGGGTTAACCAATCAGAAAGCTCAAATTATTCAATGCGACGTATAAAGGCAGCCATTTTGTTTTTCTCCCCCCATCTCCATTGCCAACCTGATATCAAAGACTTAAAAATTACTTAACAACAGCTAACATTCACATTGCCAAACTTGATATTGAAATAGATTACAGACTTCACTGGATTCCATATCAGAGACTACTGGCAAACATGGTCAAGATAAATTTCCAGCAGCCAGCAATATGTTAGCCCAAGAAGGACTACCATCAGAAGACATTTTCCATTATACGCCGAACTGTTGAAACTGAGGCCTTCGCCAACAAATTCGTTTTTTTTTCTTATGAAAACTATCAGGGATTGTTTTCCGAGCTGCTGGATACTACATTAAACTCTTTCCGATTCCTCTGCACTGTCCTCAGATTGATACCGAAAATCTCTGAATTATTAGCATTGGAACTTCCGATGCGAATCCCATGCTGGGCAGAATGTTTTTTTCCAAATTGTTGGCGAAATACATTGCGTCATGATTCTTTTTTTTCTTACAGACTGTTCTTACCTGAGCCTACAATAGTGTGCAGTCGACAAAATTGAAAGAAACCAAAAGAAATTGAAAATAAAATATAAATGGCGGCAATGTAACACTTGCACCGTGTATATTTATTTTATTATCAAGGTTGCATCTTTGATCATATTTGAACCACAGATTATATATAACAGACGGAAAGCTTCTTGGAATGTTTCAGCCAAGAGAGAGAAGGAATATCATGCACTGTAAATGTTGATAGAGCAAAAACATACTCTTTTAAATTGTTCCTTGTTTTATCAGCTCTCATCGCTACTGCTGTAATGTCAAGATTCATAAGAATGCATCAAAAAAATCAACAATAGTCTGTGAAAAATGTGATCAAATATGATGCATTAAGTGCAAAATAAAATTGCTAACAACTGAAAAAAAGTTTTAATTCCATAAATCCTGTTTCACAACATATTGTTCCAGAATAGTTATTGTTGTTTTCGCATTTGCTTACTTTGCATTATAATGATTTTAAACTTTTAATTTAATGTATTTCCAACATCTCTCTCTCTTTATATATATATATATATATATATATATATATATATATATATATATATATGATTTTAAAAAAATTATGGACATTTTGTCTTAAAATTTTATTTTATTTATGCATGATGATAATAAAATCAATATAAACAAAAAAAAAGGGTGAAGTGACTTGGTTTCAAACCCAATGTATTTGCCGGGAAAATGTTGCTCAAATGGAAATTATTTGGAGGCCCTTAACGAAATATTTCTGTTTACAATGAGATTTCTGTTTACACTTAAAAATTCCGTAGTGGGCCTCCAACTAATTTCCATATAAGCATTTTTTTTCTTTTCTTTAAATACATATTGTCCATCAATTTTTAATTAAAATTTAAAGTTATTACCTTCATTAACCTTGATGTAGGTTGTTAAAGGAGTTTTGAAACCGGTTAGCTTTATGTTGTTCAGTTTTTTTTTTTATCTGTTTTCAAATGAGTGGTAGACACACGCACAAAATTTTGTCTTTTTTATGGCATATATATATATATATATATATATATATATATATATATATATATATATATATATATGTGTGTGTGTGTGTGTGTGTGTGTGTAAAATATATAGAAAATAGGAAAGAACATGTTAGGTAAATAATCCAAAGTTCACAGTAACCTTTGTTATTCAATAATTCAAATAATTATATTGAAGTTTTCCGTCTTGTTTTGAAACATGAGAACCTCTTATGTTTAAGGGAAATGTTTTTTTAAATAAATAATTATATATATATATGTATAATTCATTCGAAAATTATAACATAAATATATTATAAAAGAACTATGAAAAATAACCATTTTGTTTCATCAATTCTGTGTCTTATCATGATGGTCTTTAAACATATTTATATGTCTAAATATTTATTAGAATTTATTCTGTATAAACTTAATATATATGTATATATATATATATATATATATATATATATATATATATATATTTAAGACGTAGATTAGATTTTCATAAATTAGATGTTTTGATAGTTTGGCAACTGAGTATAGAGTAAGGTATGGAGATAAAAGATGTTTTTTATATGAGTTAGGTCACGTTCTTCTTCTAGATTTTACATATATATATACAGATAAATAAAGAGGCAAGATAAGTCATAAATAAAAAATAGCGATCTTTTAGTTTACTATACTTTTTTTAGATGATAGATATAAGAGAGGATGCGAAATACCATATATGATATATATATATATATATATATATAGATAGATATAAAACAATATGAGAGAGAGAGAGGTTCCTTTTATAGTGAGAAGAGAGAGACTATTGTAATGTAGACAAATTAATATTGACGATGAATATTGCATGACAGCCAATGGATAAAATTTGAAATCGGTCGATTGGCAGAACAAAATATATATTAAAAATGAAAATGTAAACATCAATAAATATACCAGCATGTAAATAGGTAAACATTTACCTAGATAAACAGAACAATAAACTGATTGATATGACAGGAGGTTTACTAAATTGATAGCCAAATATGCGCACAGTAAATTCAATCGATTTATTGTCATTTCGCCAAACGGACAGAAGCATTTATCTAAAATATATCGAATTTATTTTAGAGTGACGGCGAAGACTGTTTCGCGTCAAGTTTTATTTTCTCAGATTATGCATTCCACGGGTTAAAATCGGTATTATAAAAATTGATTGAATGCTTAATTTTAATTACGATATATAAACATAAAATCAGTGTCTGTTCTTACAGAGTCAGTTTATTGCCATTATTGTTAAATACATTGG